AAGGGACTATTCCTTTCATATAAAGTAAAACATACTCTCGACTGTGTACTCTTCTTTGAAACCCCGGAAAACCGCAACAATCTGCGTCTTTTGACCTGCCGGCTCCCCAGCGTTTACCCATCGAAGCGTGCAGTCCTGGCCGAAAATAAAATTCGGGTCCCAGACTCTCTGGATACCATTCATTTGGTTCGTTGTGCTTCATTCATTAGCTTCCTTTCCGTTTCCGCTTCATTCAATTCATCCGATTCGCCTTTATTTTGCCATCGCTTGCCATCGCACATTGACTGACTTAAAGTCATCGACATCTAGTCCGCCCCGGGCTAGGACTCGTAATCGTAGCCACAACCGTGGTCGTTACCTTGTGTTAAATGCTTGACTTCTCTCTCATCCTTCGACGGTAGCAGGCTGGCAATTTTCGACCGGCTCCCGTTCCCCCGAAGCGCTCCCCAGACCGCTCTTCGCAATTCAATTTATCTTGCCTAATGCCGACATGCTTTTAGGAAAAGCCTTGTAAGGATGTTTGCCTGCTCTGGGCCTCCACTTGCTAACGGGCTCAACTGACTGACAGCCACAGCCACAACCACCTCGTTGGTTTACGTGTTCATGGTGTGCTTGCTCGCTGCCATTTTATTTCTTAGCTTGTCGACTCCTCGCATTATATCAGAATTAATAATTCAATTTCAAAAAGTTGAAAGAGCAGAGAAAGGCAAGGGCCAGGCCAGATTTCGGCCCAACGGGATTTCCCCTTTTCAACTTAACAATTTTATCGACCCGCGTTTGAGCGGATGTCACATCTCCAATCCGATTGATTCGTCTGTGTATCAATGGTACCATCTTCGGGCCATTTATCATATTAAGAATGAGTTATCCGGTTTCCGGCTAAGCAGCTACCTATGTAGCTCATATCGTGCTAATCTATTTTAATAAATTTTAAAGCCTGACATGGTCTCTAGTTAAACCATTGCCAGGGATCGGCAGCAACGAATTTAGAAGGAAATTCAGGAAAATTAAAAACGAAATCAAGTAAAAATTTGTCACGCATATTTTCGTGGATATCATCGAAGACCAGGCTTTCTCTAGCTTCTGCTACCTGCGGCACCTTGTTTACACTACTCCCATATTTCCTTACACTACACTACTCCCTTATGTCCTTTCCCTTCTCCCAAAAGCGCTTGCTTTTCTTTGGCAGCGGAAATGCATATTGCTTCCGGCTTTTTTCTTACTCTCCTCATTTTTTTGCGCATTTTTACTTGCTTTGCTGCCACATGAACTACTTCTTGAAAAGGGTCGTTTATAGGGCGGAAAGTCAAAACGTCTAATGCGCTCAGGTTTGGAACTCCGTCCGGACACTCCTTACAAACTTTAAGACCTAGGGCCTAGAAACCAAATGTGACTTTGTCTTGCTCTAATGTCGACCTCTACCCTTTTTCACGCCGACCTACAACCAGAATCGATAGAGTAAGATTTGAATTTGTGGGGATGTCGCAGCCGAAGTCGGGACCCAGATATGTGAGTCACATAAAAACAAACACTGTAAACCGGAATTGTCGAGTCGATGGAATGAAGTCCGACTTGGCTGGAGTACTGTGTATTAACTAGAGTGAATTTACATAAATATGCTTTTAATATACATAAAAGTTTGCCCAACCAATCGAATTTAATGCATTTTTTAATTATTAACAGAGATTTGGACACTGGACCATAACTTAAAGACGCTTTAACTTATGTTTCATCAAAAATATACCAATTTCATCAAAATTGCATACCTCTTTTAATGTTACTTTAACTTATTTGTTACTTATTTTGTACCGTGTTTATACCAGTATCCGAAAGTCCAATCTTGTTCTGTGCACAAGTTCGACTCGATCCTAACTTTCCACCCAGAGGCTCCTACCAGTAACACGTGTCTGGTAGTTTTCAAGTGCTTGCAGCTTGATTTGATGTAATTTAATGAAAATTTATACAAATTTTTGCTTGTCTTTGCACAATAGCCGTAGTCTTCGTGACCAACCCGCTGGACGCCCAGCCTCGCTTTTGCACCCCACCACTGCCCGAATGACCTTTCGACTACGTTTGAACTCGTTTGCTTTGCGGAATTGGGAAAAAAGTCGAACACTCTCTGGTTAGTCCTGCATGTGGGTCACGTAGCAATATGACTTATACAAAATGCAAATGAAATAGTATATTCGGAGGCAGTAACTCCCGAGGAGAAGCTAAACCGTAGTCGTGGGTGCAAGTGGCATTTTGATAGGCCCCATGTCCGTAGTTTTGTCTGGAATCGTGCCCATTTCCGGGGAAACTTTCTGTATCATGCCCTAAGAGTTCCAACCCCACGCCAGCACCAGCATAATTATTTTCAGGATCGAATTTTTTTCCCGGCCAAACATTGTTTAATATTCAATATATAGTTAAGCGACAGATTTTTTGATAAATTAAGGAGTGGCTCAGCTTTAAAGGAAGGCACCCAAACGCTTCGACAATTGATGATTATGGTTTTACATTTCTTGCTATTTTACGCTAGAACAACGCTACAATTTAAAATAAATACTAAGAGTAGAGAATTCACATTCGGACAAAAAAGATCATTCGAAAAGCCAACGCACATAGTTAAGCATTTGGACAACGGTACTTTTATTGACCCATGACAGAGAATTTCCCAAAATGGAATTAAAAGTTGATACTTTGGATTATAACGCTTCTTCTACAATTTCCTTCTGTTCATGTCAGCCTTCAGCGTCTTTGCTTGGTTTAGGTTTTAGATGGCTTGTTTGGGCCGCAAACTGCCTTTTGTTGGCAAAAATTGTTGGCTTGGAAAGAAATTGCAAGGATTCCCCCAATATTTGCTTTGGACGAGGCTAAAGTGACAAATGAAATCGGGTGGGGGCTGTTGGAAGACAAAATCTGGAGCGCTTGAAGCCGGTCTCGATTCGATTTGGGCATGGCAATGCAATCAGCACCTAGCCACATCCCCTTACTGCGTGTTTTCCCCATTTTTCTGTCGCTATGACACGAGTGTTTTGATAAATATGTTTTTGGGGGCGACCGGTTCGCCTCCCAATTTCGTAGCATCACCTGAGCTCCTCCTGTGTCACTGACAGGCGCTGACACCTTCCGCTGTCTGTTTCCTTCCCGTTCTCATCTTAGCATTGAGGGTGAAAAGGAATGCCAAGTGCGACATTCTCACAATCAGTGGCTAAATGCTAAATAAAATAAATTTCTGCACTTTAAATCTCCCTACGCAAAAGGCCATCAATATTTACTTACATTATATTAGTTTCTGATTTCTGAACTGGCGAAGTCTTCAAAAAAATATTCTGCGCCTAACTAATGATTACAATATAGCCGGTTAGGACCCTCTCGACAAACCCGCCAGAGGCAAGGGCTTCCCTGGACCTCAGACCCTCCCAAAATTCTGCCCGGGAGACACAGGATATGCGATGGAATGACCACAGTAAATCGTGTAAGTGGATTAAAATCAACCACTCATTAAATTAGGAGTGCGTTGCTTTTAGATGGAGACAGGACCGCAGCAGCCGCAAAAGGAATATATCTTTGAATTGATATATTCTCATAAAGCAGGATATCAGGCGCGGAAGAAAGTAAAAGTATTTTTTCTTACTTTATTTTACTCCACATTCATAAATAATGTACTTCCTTAAAATGAGATTCTGAGGTTTGCCTTTTTCTTATCCTTATAAAGTGGTGAATGTACAGTAGCAGGACGAAGGACCCTACATTAATTTTCAGATCCCTTAATTGCCAGTTTTCGCTGCGCAAAAATCCACAAATATGGCAGAGACTGTGGAGGCACTATAAAATGGATATACGGCAAAAGGAACTGGGTGCTTCGGACAAAACCTGGGGCTGCAAGCTGCGAGGTGCAGTTGGCGCTGCAGCAGAACTGACACGGTGACCTAAAGGCAACAACAGCCGCATGCGGAGCGAACAGTGGAGACTGGGAAACGGAGCCACAGGACACAAAACAGGCCGCCCAATGCAAGCACGGCAGCGTCATCCAAACTTTTGTTTGTTTTGCCGCCTTTTTTTATGGCCGAAAAGTAGGCAGCGCTAATAAACATTGGGTCAGGACACCACAAGGATGGGCTCAAGGAGGCCCTCTGACACGGCAGGAGGAGCAACGCGATTTGGCTTCTGCGACAAGATGTTTTCGACCTAATACACTTGGAAAATTAGGATGACATGTCTCGCTTGCAGCTTTTTCACATACCCATGCCAATGTCAAGTGCCAAGTGGGTAGTTAACTGCAGCGTGTTGGTCTGTCGTGGAATTTTTTGCATTTTTGTGTGTGTTAGGCCATGCTTAGATTACATAGCCCGAAGTGATGAAAATAACAGGACAATTTTCCTCCAAAAGGCAAGGCGACAAATACACATATTGGCCACACACACTCAAGTCCGGGGCCAGGACTGAACCTGAACATCCAGGGACTCCGGAAAAAAATGCTCCAAATAAATTTGTTACAGTAAATTACCTCAGACTTCAGAAAATGAAAAACACCATTTCCATTGCATATATTAAATCAATATTATGAGTTTCTTCAAAGAGGTTCAATCTGGATTTTTAACTGCTGCAACAGAGATTGTTAAGGGCTTCACTTATTTGGATGACCTTATCAGATGTCACGTATGTTCAACATTAAATTAAATTAAACTTGGCAGTTAATATGGAAGAGCAAATGCATAACTGAAACCACTGCGCTTACAGACAGAAACAGTGCTAAGTCAAGCCTGGTCAGGAAACAATTTGCCTCCCGAATGCGCTTGCACAAAGCATTAGATATTGCTAAATGTGCGGATGCGAAATATACATACACATATATAGTTGTCCTGGTAGTAGGGTAACCTGCATTGGATACGATTTGGCCAGTCCGACTTTGCTTTAATATCAAGTTGACAAGACCACACTCTGGGGTATATGGTGGGAAATCTATGAATTAATTCAGGGACAGGTTTTGTGTTAGGGTTAGTATCTTTTCTGGCTAAAGTTTTATTTTTTGGTTGGACCCCTAACAACAATATTTTTATGTACATATGTATGTACTCTTTACCTTTAGTAAGACTTTAAATAGCATTATCAACACAGGGTCAGAGTGTTCGTCAGAACGAAAGACTGCTTGCTTTTGATCGACTTCTCCTTCCCCTCAAAGTCCAGGTAAATGTCAAACTGGAGTTGAAAGAGGTTGTCGGCACTGGGCTGCATAGCAAACACTCCCTTGATGGACTCGCCGGCCCGCACGGGCAATGGTTCCTCCAGATGAAACACAGTTTGGTTCCAGTGCGTCCAGGGAGCGCTCGGGGAAGTGCTGAAGCTAACGCTTTGCGGGCTCTTGCTGAATCCCACGTCGAAGTAGACGAACAGGGATCGAACCTTGCCAGTCCGAGTGACCTTAAGCTCGTAAAAGGAGCGGATGCCAGCAGCCTGGTGACGCATGGTGTAGAGATCTAGTGACTGGAGCAAGCACGGCTTGCTCACCACTTGGCTGGGGTGCACGTGCTCTACTGCCGCTTTCTCCTTGAATCTTCGCCCGACAGCTCCCAGGTCGAAGCCGTGCACGTCGTCCCAGAACCCGAAATCCGGTTCGTCGCCTTCGCTGGCCGCGAGATACAGTTGGGCGGTGTCTGGAAAAATATATCCCCCTTCTCCAAGCCACTTGTCTCGCGCGAATATCAATGACTCCAGCATATTTTCGGAAAATAGGCATTGCCTGTGGAAAATGGATTGGAGGAAACGAATGAAATGCAAAACAGCATACTCAAATCTTTTTTATGTGATATCAACCTACCCCATCCAATCGCATAGAATAATGTCGACCTTTTGGATAGAGTCCGGTAGTTCTACTTCTTCCACTTTTGCCTGAACGACGGTAATAACGCTACTAAAGCCGTTGTCTTGAATTATTCTTCGTGCGTACTCGGTTATGCTGGCCCCATCCACAGCAATTACTCGGCTAGCCCCTGCTTTGGCAGCAAAAATCGAAAACATACCAGTGCCGCATCCTACATCCAACACAGTCTGAGGGATTCAAATATTTAATGGCGTTATTTTATCCCAGTCACGTCAAACAAACCTTCTCCTGGAACAATTCGTTGCCAATTATGGCTTCGCGATACGCCTTATTTCGAACGGAATCTTTCAGAAGCCACTCCTGCACTTCGACGCGGCCATAGAGCTTGAAGTACAGGGCCTCCTGTTCTTGGCGCTCCTTGACTCGCTGCAGCGCCAAATCCAGATTGCGATCCGCAGAGGCATAATCCTCGTCATGGTTGCGGAAGAGAGACTCAAAGTCGACGTCTTCTCCTGAAACCTTCCCCAACATCCTAATCACAATCGTATTTGGACACTTTTAATTAATTTGTTGGAAATTTTTTGGAAATAAGACCGGTCTTACTGTAATTCCACAGGTATACAGATGTCCCGAGCAGTAGAAGTAAACGTAGAAGTAGAAGTACTAAACGTTGAAATCGTGAATTTTTTTCCAGAACGAAAATGAAAGGCTTGAAAAATGAAAGATAATCCAAACATGGAGACCTCTAGTGGTCCCCATTCAAAGGAATGTAATATTATGTAGTCAAGATAGACCCGTAGCACCATTAGAAAGTTACATGTACAATAGCAAAGAACGCTGAAAATCATATGACTCCGAAACAAAAGTAGATAGAAGGCTCACCAGCCTAAATAGTCAGAATTGGACTCGCAAACAGAAAAAAAGTTAAGTGAGTTCCTGGTCGACATCAAAAGTGACTAACAAATTTATAAATAAAATATAACGCCTCAAAGCTCGGTCCTGGTCTTCAGCGATAATATTTTATTTGTGTGCCGCAAGCTAAAAGCAGCACTAACTGGATGAGGAGACGCAGGCATGCATTGTATACACACAGACACAAACTCTGCCTCCTACAGGACGAAATACAAACACTGGTACGCTGCGGCCAGGCCATCAGGCTGCTCGTTATCCTTTGCGTAATTTCGGGTTAATGATGCGACACCTTCTATCCCTGGGAGACCACAGGCGGCATTTTTGCACTCATACATTTTTATGACCCGAACATTAAGTTAAAATTTGTGTTAAATATTTGATTGTTTTTATGGCCACATGAACACCTTGAACTGTCAAGTAGAAGTGTTCATGCCAACCAAAATATAAAAAGCAAGAACGAACCAACTCGGTTGAAACTGTGGCGAGGATCTACTCTACCGCTTAGTATTAAGCCCAGTTATTAATACTGGGCTGATTACGAATTATGGCCAATGCACGGAGGCAAAAGGCAAGAAGCCACAGTTTGCGCAAAAACATCCTTCGGGTTGAAATAATTCCGACGGTAGACTCCGAACACCACCTGACCCACCTTACCGCCGTGCACTTGACGGAAGCGTGAAGCTTCTGGGAACTAGGAAAAGCATAAAAAACTCGTCATGTCATTCACCCTTCTGGATGGGGCAAGCATTAAGGGCTGCTCCGGGATTAGCCGTACATATAGTGCCACAACTATTAACGGTCCAGTGAATTGTGATTTCTGCTGACGGGAGCGGAGCTTATCCTCGATGTCTTCCAGTATTTGGAGATTTATTGAAGGTAAAAATCGATGCAAATATAATGCATAAATCAGAGGGCTTAAGTCAAATTTTTGCGGGTACATGGAGTGCACTGGGAGGCGAGGCAGAAACATAGAAGGAGCTCCTCCTCAGACGGGGTCAAAGCGAACTTCCCCCGAAACGCTTCGTTTATTTGCCAACATGGGTGGTTTGAAAGTGGGTGGTTTTGGGAGAGAGTGGCAAAGAAAATGTTGAGGGCGTCTCGTTATATTTGTACATTTTCTGGGTCTCTCTTCGAAACGTCCCTGCAGACGAGCGCAGGCGCTTTGATTTTCCATCCTTACCCTGAAGTTTCCCTCTTTCGCCCAGTTCTGCAAAGAAAATGCCAGAGAGTGAAACACTGGGAAATTATACTTCCGCCCTCGTGGCAGCTGCACCTTGTACCAATAAAATGTTCCTCCGTAGGTCAGGCTTAGCTGTGAGAACTTTATGACTGGCAATATTTACTAACTGCCTTGCTGGCACATCAAGGCCCACAGATGCTGTACCGCGTTCCGAAAGATAATTAAAAAATCATTATCGAAGCAGACGAAGAGACTCGAAGCACCGACCCAGAGTTGGGTGCTCTGGGTCAAGGGTCCCAGCTCGAAGGTAACATGACTATATGCATAGGTGTATCCCCGATTCTTCCCCAAATAATGCATCCGTTGGTTTAACTGGCTCAGTTCGTTCAGGCTGCGGGTAAGCGGGTTGCGCAGCTGCTTTCCGCCTTTTCTGAGCTCCAAGCCAAGCAAACTGACGGTTGGGAAACGAGTTAGGAGATGTGCAGAACGGAAAAACTGGTTTTTGGGTCAGAGTAAAGGGCCAAAGCCGAAACCTGACAGGGGAGAACAGGTAAGCCCGAGATAATTATTCAATGAAGCCGAGAGCATCTTGTCCCCCCCGCCCCTCTACGGGGCTGCAGCGAAAGGGCCCGCTCGAGAGCCGTGTCAAAGGGTTAAAGCCTAGACTGGAACGTATAAGAGAATATCTGCGCACTGTCTCGCGCCTTCTCTGGCCGCTTCTCTGGCATCTCTCTTTTCCCGTTTTTCTTGCGCTCTATGGATTCGGGTCTCGCGGATTCCTGAGGCAGATTCAGTACTCGTTTGTTGTACTGGTACGGCGTACGTGCGCGGTCGAATCGAGAAGTTGGAACCCATCTAAAAATCCAATTAAGTTTTCAGGCCCAGGGCTGAGTGAATGTGAGTGCTGTTCCTTTTGCGCGTCAGTGTAAGAGTGCGGATGTGTGAGCCACGGCTCTGAAAGATTGCTAAATATAGTTTAAAATTAGAAAAGTATGAATATTGTTGAAAGAAATGTGGGAATTCGAAAACAAACGCCATTCAAGCGGAACACAAAATGAGTAGCTACACGAAAAGTGGCCAGAGGGTAGTCTTGGCTTGGCAGTGGAAAATCACTCATAAAGGTGTATGCGCGAGTGTGTGCGCGTACTGCAGTTCCCACGTTAAGTTTCAAATGGAAATTCGCTCGATTTTCCGTGCTTTTCACGCTCTTGGGCCAGAATGTGAAAACAGGACCACACCCGCGCGGGAGCACTTGAAAAAAATGGGAAAAACAGTGCTGTAACAGAAGTGCCAAAGAAAAACAGCTCTGCAAGAAAAATTCCAGTTTCCAAAAGGATCGCAAAGAAAGAGAGGGAGAGCGTGAGAAATATAAGGGGCCAGGGGGCGGTTGGCAGCGGAGGACAAGGAAACGTGTCAAGCTGCACTGGCCGAAAACTTTGGCTGGAAACTGCCAAGGAGTGGAATTCGAGGAATCGAAAAGCGTTGCCCAAACGTAAGCCCAGAAGTTGTTCCTTTTGGATGCCATGAGCGGACAGACTCTCCGGCTCTCCCAGTTGCGCTTCGAGTGTCCGTGCCTTGGTGTCCTGGCTCTGTGCAGTCGGTATTGCCTTTTTCGACGAAGGTTTCAGAACCGACAGTTGGTATAACTGGGCTTTGGAATCGCGTTTGGTGACAGATACTGTGACTTCTTGCCAATAAGGATGCAGGAACAAAAATGAAATCAGATACAAGTGTCAATTATATAATGTACCCAAGGACAAGGCGTGACCGTGCCTGGCGTGAGTCACGTGCCAGTGGGTGGATGTGAATTACGGAAATCATATCAACCAGGAAACCATGAATGCTGAATTATACCCATATATTTTTTTATGTTTAATCCTAAACCTGTGCGGCTCTCATACTGTTTAGTTAGGTTATATGTTTTTTTAATTTCCCATATTGATTACCGCACCCCTCGTTCGTGAGTTCTGACAGATGTTATAATAATTAAATCCTTTGTGCAGCCCGGCGGTTTCAAAATCCCTTGTCAAAGTGCCCTCAAACGCTCGCAACGAAAGTGTCATAGAGCAACCTTATCCTGTAAACAAAGTGTAAAGCGCTCCCAGCTCCACTCCGGAGTTCTTCGCGCTCCACCAGCGCGAATTCGAAGGACCTGCCCCGTTGCCGTGCTGGCCATTGAAGCGGCCTGCTGACTCGACGATTTACTGGATTTTTCTGCAGAAACACATCCCTTCAGCATCGGATCTGAGTAATGGTTGTACAAGTGAGGTGAGTCACCAACCAAAAAAGGATATGTACCTGGACATAAAGGGGTAGACTAGGTCTAGAATCTGAAGTGTATTTGTTAGTGCGAGAATTACGAAACATATGAATCTACAAAAACTGACCAACCGAACTGATTGGATTGCCTTGGAAGTTTTGGCTGGAGCCTCTTGATTGGTTTTGTGGCTTTCTACACATCCTTTTCAGGCTTGAGGGACAGGCGACCAGATTACCAGTTCAAAATAAAAAGGCAAACATTTGTAGCAGATGACGGCAGCAAAAGGCAAACGCAAACTGAGATAAAGTGTAGCCTAGTTGGTGCTGGTGTTTGTCTGTGGATTGGGGTCAGGATATTGCACTTCCCCTCTGCGGAAGCCTGCGTTTTGCGCTCCACTCTGCTTCGTTTCCACTATCTTTGTATGTTAGTTCCGCCCTGAAAGCCAGTGCGACGCAGATACAGTTAATCCAAGCAGCGAATTAGTTTTCAAGGTGTTCCTCTAAGCAGCATATGTTGCTATTTGGATGTGCTCCTAACTTCAATCGAGTGCCAGCTACACTGCGCTATTTGCTTTGCGGAGGTAGAACGTGGGTGCTTGGGACTTTGATCTTCCACAGATATACTAGTTGAAGGCGAAACAGTGGGGATAAGTTTCGGAGTGAGATTTTAGTTCATCTGCGCAGTGTTTTTGAGGTCCATAATATTGCTTCGCAGCCGACCATTATCAGTCCACGTTAACCCGAGCTTGTAGTGCGTCCAAGAGAAGCCTGAAAAGTTTATTACCCACTTTTCTGTTTGAGTATACACACACTAAGCCTCTCGATTCAAGCCCAGATTGAAAACCTCGTCGATTGGCGCCCAAAAAGTGAGAAAACGAAACTGGGGCCCAAAACAAAGCCAGAGATAAAGCCGTAGAAATGTTTATGTTTGGAGCAGTTAGTTCTCAAGATCGGCCCAAACTGGAGTGGAATTTCGTGAACTCAAAACATGTATGTATGTATATATCTGGTTGGCAGCATCGGACCTCGCTGGTATAAGAGAATGAGCTGTAGATACACAGAATTTCCTGCAGCAGCCATTTGCGAGTGGCAGTCCGGTTATCCGGGCGCGATTTTTCAATACAAGTAAGATGAAGACAACTCAGAGCACCAAATACAGAATGCAGTTTTCCGACAGCGATCTTGGCCCATAAGCTGTGCAGACAGGTAGGAAGGTGGGCACAGGTAGGCGCAGGTAGGCAGGGGTATTCACGCAACCTAAGCCCCAAACATTCCCGCACACTCGCACCAGGTGGAGGGAGTACGGAGTGCGGAGCGCGGAGTAGGCGGAAACACATTCAGGGCTTCGCTAGAAAGTGCACTTCGCTTCTCAGTTACATCCTGGTGCCGTGCGCTTTGTTCTGAGCACTCGTTGTTTTTGTTTCCGAAGGTTTACACACTATTGGCAGTGATGCGTTAAAATTGACCCAGTTGTTGATTTATTTTTACGGCTCTCGGAGCGAGGTCGCATTGGTAGCTACTCTGCCTTCCTGGCTTGGACTGGAAGCCATAATTCATATTGCCAGGAAACACAGACAAGGACCCGAAAGTATAATTGTGTAAAGGAATTGATTGGCCCTTTCTTTAGAAAGACAACTGTTTATCTACTTTAAACTAGACTAGACTAAAGCAAGACTTATTCCCCAAAATTGACCACAAAAAGGGAAGGTTGAGACCCAAGAAAAAACATTAATAAAAAAGCTTGTTTCCCACCAAGACTATTTTTGTAGATTCTTTTTTAAGAAGTCCATTCGTTTAAGAAATTAGGAATTTTCAACTGGTATGGTCTTCCCGCCTTGGGCCCAATAAAGTAATTTGCCAGGCTGGTCGCCGGCCATTATTTCCCATTAAAGCGCAATCAGCAATGCTATCAGATGGGCTACCCCTTCGAACCACAAAAAAGTTATCAAAGTTGCCAAGCGAAAAACATCCTTTTTTAATTTGTTTTGAAATATCGACGGTTGCAGGGGGAGGCCAACACAGGGACCTTCTAAAAAGGACATTCGCTGAGAAATAGGGTTCAGGAGACTTTTAAAAGGGCTTTCGCTGGTAAATTTTCATGTTGTTTTTTATGAATGTGCAGAGGACAAAACGCGATGCGGTGCTTTGGAAAAAATCAATATTCCTTCAATGCCGCAAGCCTGACTTGCTCAAGCTGAGCGGAAAGTGTTGGTCGTTCTAAGGGCGTAGTCTCTTTTCAGACCAATGCTACAAATTTATATAGAAATATGTATATTCATGTACCTTTAAAGGTTTCTGTGCTAAATGCCATATTGAGAGTAAAGTAGCTGCCACTTCTTATTGGCGGATATTTCTGAATTGTTCAGGGGTATTTATGGGACAAGACAATAGGATATATTGATAAATATAAAGGTTAACATAGCAAGAGCAGAATACATAGTTAGTTAATAGTTAAGCAATGAATAGTTTATCAGAAGATCAAAATTGTATGTGACATTGTCTGCCGCACGTTGCGTAATTGGTTTTAACGCATCTTTAAAGCATAAAATTTACTTATTGCATAATGGAAAAGTTTTGCTCTTTTGTGAAGAAATCCACGCTCCTCTTGTACCATTCTTGTGTCCTCTTTTATCTTCATCTAGTGCTATTCAGCTTTAGAATTTTATCGGCCAAAAGATGGGTTCTCTCTTGGCTCCTTCAGCGAAGTAAAGCGCCGAGTGCTAAACTTTTTTTCTCGAGATTGTACTTCTCTTAGTTTGCGTATTACTTTCAACGAAAAGAAAAACCTGACTGTGAGGCACATAAGACACAGCAGAAAAGTTTTGGACACATCCGCCTGGAGCTTGACTGGGGTGATCTTGATCCAGAATAAAAATAATTCATAAAGGGGGTAATACCTTTTATACACACTCCATGAATGTTTGTCAAGTCTACGAAAGATTTATGGGAAATGACCCCAGGAGGTAAGGGCCATTTCCATGGAAAAAGTTTAACAAATAGACCGATAAGAATCTCATTTCTTCAAGCTTTAAGGAGTTACCGACATAATAGCGGAGGATTATGAAAGAATACCCAAAGTATATTAAAAAAGTCTGGGGTTATCCCTCCTTGGATTGATCTCTACTGATGAAGACAAGTTCATCTCCGTAGAGAAAATCGTTAGGGTATGAAAACACTTTTGCGAAATGGGTCCGATAAGAACTGTAAAACAAAATGAAAAGCAATGAAAAATAAGATAAACACATTGTAGAAACCATTACACACGAAACTGAATGTTCATTTCCTTCTTATTCAGGGCAAAATAAATTTCAAAGGCCTGAGTTTATAGAAAGACTTCTGACCACGCCATTAGAAAGCACATTAAGGGCTATGTTGCCGTCCTGCTGGGTGTGCCGCTCCAACCCCACCTCTCCAGCACAGACAGGAACCCACCACATCCGTTTAATGTCAGCAAATTTTATTTATTTGTGGTTCGTGTTGTATTACAGCATTTTAGAGCAATTAAAATTTACAATGGCAAGGTGCCGGACCACCGCTCAGTCGACAGAGAGCTTTGCCACTTTGCATGCCCACTGGCGGTGCCCAGACTACGGCTACGGTTCATTGGGGCGAATGTTTTAGATAATTTTATTAGAGTGATATATAGAATGTTACCCAGGATAGAAACTTCAGTGCTGAGAGACGGTACGGTATTTTCCAGTGCAGGTTGGGTAAATTTCTGTTCCACTGCCAGCTAGAAAATATCCGATTGTCATGAGCATAAATAAGCCATGATGAGCAGGGGAATGGGAACCAATCGCTCGATTAGGCGACTATGTCCCCACATCCGCGGTGCATTCTGGCGTATGAGCAAATGCAATTCGCTCGTTGATTTGTCATCGTGTGATATGAAAAGGCCTGCTTCCTGATTCTTGCCTGCTGTCCCCAGCGCGACCAACTGCCAGACTGATTTTCAAATGAATCCTCGGTCCTGCGCCGCGGCCAGTATTTCGGTAATGAAAATTCAGCCATGGGGGAAATCATTTTTCCGGGTTTTGTGCCATTTAAGTTGGCTCTGTTCCGGTGCTTGGGTTCTGTGCTTCCATCCCTTTCAGGTGGGACTCTCCAGTCGAATGCGATGCACCGGTCGACTGAACTGGGTGTGGGTGACCCTGGGCATAGCAGCATAGCAGGATGCGAGTGCGATCCATAAATGGCTTTTGTTTTAATAAACTTGGCATTATGTCGCCGCTGCAAAATACGAAGAATATGTTAATACAGCAACTAACTACTTACAGTACGTTATAATCTATTTGGAATAGCAATGGAACTGTCCAACTTCTGGCACACTGGTTTTAGATATTAAATTGTGTTTCTTTAGGCTTTAAAATACATACACAAGAAATACAAGTTTCGGTAGTCACTTCACCGCATCTGAAAACTTGAGGACAGATCATAAAACACCCTCGAAACACCATTTAATTAACTTCAATAGGCCCCAAATCACGATTACCCAATAGCGACCCAGCGGATAACCATCAGAAAATGCCCAGAAATACCCGAAGAAGGTCCTTTCTCTCCGCTCCAACCCATGAAACACGAGTTTTACATTAATTCTCAAAGTTTTCGAGGCAAACTGAAAAGGACGAAGGAAAAGTTTTGGCTGATTGTAAAGAAGCCTCGATAGTTTGTGGGCACTGCCGCACCCCACCTGAATCTACTAAGTGGTGTCCCTAACAGCTGTAGCTACAACATATTAGTTTCCTAACTACACACACACACTTTTGCCTGTCTGCGTCCCACAATAGGCTAAATGGGGAACTATTGTTTATGAGTTTGTCAACGGCGTTTGGGTTTGACAGAGGTTGCGCCTCTGTATTATACTTTAATCAGAGATAGTTCCCTCTGATATAATCAAAGGTAGCTAATTGAAATTATTAAACATTTTTAAATCATGTTCAGCGTTTTGGGACTTTAATGATGCCGTTCCGCCTGTCCCACCTAGACATTTCCAACCACCTTGATTAGGAAGAGCGGGTCCTTTGGAGGTGGAGGAAAAGACTACATTTGAAGCTTGACAGTGACATGAAGGGTGATGGATGACGGCTGAAGGATGCGACAGCTTCATCAAGTGCAGCCAGGTGAGGCGGTAGGGCATTTATTGAAGGAAATGCTTATCGCAAGCTGCAGCACACTGAAAATTTTGATAGTAGTGAGGCTTGAAGTTTATCAGCGCATAGAGTCTATAACTGGCTGGAAAATCCTATCATTTGAAACTTCTCCGACATTCCCTTACCCGATACTTTCTCTCCATTTCAGATGACGGCACTGGAAGTGAGAACGATAAGTTAAGGCGGCGGCGCTGACTATGGGAACAGAGGCATGGGCGTGAGCGCTGACCTTGGGTCTCATCAATGGTGGCGGGCATTGAGCCAGCACAGCCGACAACCGCAGGCGCAGCCAGGAAGGCATCAACGCCAGCTTCTTGCTAGCGGGCTGCCTTCAAGGACTGACACAATTACTGGCAAAAAGTCGCACCCTGCTCCGCTCGCCAAATCTTGCTTAGGAAAATCGACAAGCGGAAAGCGAGAAAGGAGTTCCAGTTGCAGTCCCATTTCCCGATGCTGCTATAAGCCAGAACTCAGCTCCAGATCAGTGCAAGCACTCTACCTTGTAGCCACCTTGTTTCTGGCACTTATCGCAACAGATGTACAAGCGCACAACATTCCAGGTGAGAGAATTCGGGTCCTTTTACTTATGAATTTATTTGTTAATTTTTCTAGATCTTACTATATTGTGACTTTTATTTCTCTTATTGCAGACGATGCCGTTCACATCACGGCTATTCTCGGCGAGGGCGTCATCTTCAACTGCCACGTGGAGTTCCCCAACGACCACCCCGTGCCGTATGTCCTGCAATGGGACAAGAAGGTGAGCGAAACGGTACGATATCAGAGTTAACATTTCTTCTCTAAACTCTCTTTTTTACATTGTTGTACCGATACGCAAAAACAAAGCAAGAACAAGTAAGAACAGTCAGTCAGAACAGACCAAGCATTTACGCAAATGAACTACCGGCAAACCTATACGAAACCCCTCTCAACTAATAGTATGAGCCTGCCCGTACTTTGAAAAGAATAATATTTAAACGAAAACGCTACCAGTATTAGTGCTCACTTTAAGTTTGATTCATTTTGTGTCTTATTTCGAACTTTCTTGTTACCAGTAACCTATAAGCTCCAGTAAACAGAACCCGACGAGAACACGGTTCTTGTCCCTATTGATGTCAATGCGATTCAGATGCTCCTAACTATTTATAAATATATAGCTTGAACTAAGCGTGTTTGTGTAAATGTGTTGCCCGATTGGTATTTCTGCCTTTTGTTTCCTTGGTTATCCTTGAGTTATTCAGTCTTTTGGGTTTCCATTGCCATAAACCGCCCTCAACTATGCAGACTGCTTCCAGCGGCCTTTCCGATCAGTTTGTGATCCTTATTTTGCGTCTCGTTTAAGTTCGCCCACAAGACACACAACACACTCACCCACACTTACAAGAGAAAAACTAAACTGAACACTTTGGAACGTATTATTTTTGCGGCATTCGAAGAATACTATGAAATTAATTAAATTATTTGTCAATTGAAGGAACGGGCGTCACAGCACCCGGACCAAAGAGAGCGAAAGAGAAGAAAGCAGTTCAAAAATGCACTTTTCACCAAATTCAAATTATTGCAATCGAGGCATAATCGAAAACCTAGCATAGCTCGATGCAACATTGAAAATTTCAGCTCCTCTTATATTTCTCCTCCATCTATGCAAATCCTGATCAATTAGCCAGCCACATTCATAGCCAAAAAATTTTATAAAGATTATTCACATTGCCAAGACTAGTGGCGAAAATACCCAATAATGCACCCGTCCATTAGCCACTATCTCCAACTCAACCTCAACCTCACCACCCCTCAGCCAGACAGTCCTCTCGAAAGTTTGCGGAAATATGCTAATGTTTGCTGAGGTCGAAGTTCGAAAGTCTGAGCCCTCCTGGGATAAGGAGAAACTTTGAGCTTCGTCGTTCCGTGGATGCTCCGTTTCGGCATTTTCGGTTGCGACTGTCGGTCAATGCAAATTCCTGTAGGATAAATAAACTTAACTCATAACACCGCCAACACGACACCTTCACACTATCATTTATTTTTCCCTATAATTGTTTCATTATGTAGTTTGTGCAACACAGTTGCTTACAGTTTTGCATGTTACTTCCTGAATTATACTTTCTGGTAAACTGTATGTGCTTTATATAAATCCAGCTAACAGCGCAAGCCCCAAACTACGATTAACTTTATTAAAACCTAAGCCTGCTGTGGCCTTGATCGGGCTAAAGTTGACCAAAGTAACATTGAAAGCAGGGATATAGAACTGGACTTGTATAGAAGACTGTTTCAGGCCGGAAGCACTTGGTTCATGGGAGCACCTTACGAACAGAGATATGAAATAAAAAAAGTAACAAAGCCAGACAGAGAGAGTGGACGGGTGGAGCTCAGGGTAACCCAATTTTATTTGCGACTACAAATATTTTACATGAACGCTTTTCATCTGCAAAAGCTAGCATTCGAAATGTATCTTTTTGGCCGGCGTGGCTTCGGTTAACACACACACGTTCAGAGGACATTTCTGCATTCACGGATACACATGATTTATGGTGGGCCCAGGGTCCCTTGCCGACACTTCACTCCAGAAGCGTGTGTGTGCAGAACCTAACTGGGCTGCCCTGCCTGCGGCTATCGCTCTCTATTCCGCTTTTCCACTTTTTCTCTAGTGTTGATGCGCTGCAAACTGACGCCGAAGGGGAGCAGATTGACGAAGGACTTAGGGGAAGGATTCGCTGAGCTCTGGATCTGGGGGGTTTGTGTTGACAGTAGAAATGTATGACCATGTCTGAGCCAGTGTGTAGGTGTGTAGAGCTTGTCCGTTGTTTTTGGCATGTTTACGACGTGGCGGCGCTAGCTCTGCACGTTAATTTGATGAGTTTTTGTTTTGACCGTATGTTTCTTTAACCAACCGGAACGGAACCCACCAAGCAACACGGCCACATCGTGGGCTCCAACGGGCTACACGGCGCATTTTACTTTTATTTTTCTTCATTTCCACCTGCATGCCAAGCTAGACTTTGTATACAGATATTGCATGACGTTAGAGAGAGCACCCTGTTGTGTACATAGCTGTCCAGTGTACTCGCGTATTGTGAATCATAACTCTAGACAACAACTGTCTTTCCTGTACATGTGTCCCTATTCCTATCGAATAGTACCGAGAATCAGACTGCTGTTTGTCGTATGTACAGAGGCCATAGCACATTCAATGCATACTGTACATTCGAGACAAGAACATTTTTTTAACACTGAGCTGAGACTAAGCGCCGAAATGTAATTGAATTCTCTCTAATTTTACAACTGCACCGCACGCAGGGCTCGGATCTACCAATCTACATTTGGTATGAGAGCTATCCAGAGCACATCGAGGAGGGCTACAAAGGACGTGTGTCCCGCGTCTCACAGGACTCGCCATTCGGCTCCGCCTCGCTTAACCTGACCAATATTCGAGAGTCGGACCAGGGCTGGTACGAGTGCAAGGTCGTCTTCCTCAACCGGGACCCCAAGCAGCACAAGAACGGTACATGGTTCCACCTAGACGTACATGCACCGCCTCGCTTTAGCGTTACACCAGAGGATATAATTTACGTAAACTTAGGTAAGTCTGACACTAATCTAAATATCCGGAAAAACAATAAAGGCCGTGTGAGACAATTCGATGGGGGCTACAACTCTTTAATCCGAGGACAACTTTAATCCTCTAAAGAGAAACTATCGCTGCCGAATGTTAAAATATTTACAAATCTAAGTGATAGCATCCAGCTGAGAAGGCAGAACAAAGGCACGAGAGACGAGCGACATTACGTATAAATCAGATAAACACATCCGCTGGCAGGAACACAAGACGAAGAACAACGGGCGTGGTGGGGCAAGTGGAGCGAAGAACTGCAACAAGAGCCCGGCCCATTGTCTACCGCTGCGGCAGCCATCACAGTTGGCCATGTCGGCTCACCAGGAACACAAAACATAGTTAGCCAGAATGGGGCGGGGGCTGAAGCTCCTCCACTTGCACCAGCCTGCAGTTGAATCCAAAAGTAAAACAATTGCCACCACTTACCTTATTAATTCCTCGCTTTTCCGCTGTCGGCCTCTTCTCGTTCCAGGTGATTCAATTATACTAAATTGCCAGGCTGATGGCACTCCCACGCCGGAAATACTCTGGTACAAGGATGCCAATCCCGTCGATCCCTCGCCGACAGTCGGCATATTCAACGACGGCACCGAGCTGCGGATCTCCACCATTCGGCACGAGGACATCGGAGAGTACACTTGCATTGCACGCAATGGTGAGGGACAAGTCTCCCATACGGCCCGTGTTATAATCGCGGGTGGCGCTGTAATCATGGTAAAAACCTAAAATACATTAATTTTGAGACACATTACAAATTACAAGCAAAATTGTGATAAAATGGGGAATTGGGACTAGGGCCGATACACAATTGAGAATAGAAGATTGCGGGCAATGGTCAGAGGTCCAAAAAAAAGCACCTTACAGAGAGCAGTTAACTAATACGTGGTTTCTATTCTCTTACCCCGTAAACTTCTCTGAATCCCAACTCTGAATTAAACCGCAGGACAAAGGGAAACCCGACAAACACACTCGCACTAAGTCAAAATCGAATACCGTCACTGAGAGGCTGGCCATAAGAGTAAGTTTCGCTCTCGCATATTTTCTCCGCTTCTTGCATTCTGCATACCGCATACTGCATACTCTCCTCCACGAATTTCCATCAGCGAAGCCAAAAGATGGTCCTGGCTCGTACCTGCAAAGAATAATCCTTAAAGTCGACTAAGTGGTATCAAAAATCACCAGTTCTAGCTTTGCCAGATTCTGGACTCCAATACCACTGCTTCATGGTGTCATTCAAGCTCATGGACTCACATATTCTAGTTCTAGCTTTGCCAGATTCTGGACTCCAATACCACTGCTTCATGGTGTCATTCAAGCTCATGGACTCACACATTCCGTCTGACATAAATAACACAAAACGTAGCATACTTATGTGCAGGTCAGCCAGTGCGATTTATTTCAGCTATTTATTTGATAAAATTATTGCAAATACTTAATATCCATCATTAAATCAATTGTTTCAAGACCCAAGGCAATTTACCTTTGACCTTTGAGACCACAACAGCACACTTTAAAAGGGCGCACAGCGTGTGAGTTGTGAGTGCACATGTCTGGTGCGTCTCTACCCCACAACCGTACATTCTTCCCATAAATATTGCAATAACAGTTACTTAGCCACAGGCAGAGTGAACGTAGATGGCCCAAAGGCAAGCCAGAGCAGATCAAGCAATTTAGTTTAGGAGCCCGATTCGGCCCCCAATCAACCGACCTCACTTTGGGCTAATGGTAGAACTAATTCAAATGAAACAGCAATCGGGCCAGCAAATTGGGCCGAGAGCAGAGCTGTAGGGGCAGTAAAGTGCACCTTAAATAAACCAGGAACTCGACGGACGGAATGCACTCATGCAATTACCAAGAAGAAAAGGGGTTCTAATGTCGGTAGCTGACAGTTGACTGACAAGTTGTCAATGCCAGAGATTGAAGGGTCGGGGATTAGATGGAGCAGGAAAGTAAAATTATCAAGCGGGTATGTGCTACAGCAGAAACCTTATTCCCCGGGAGCAAGGGAAACAAAGGATATCGATGAGGACAACAGCTAAAAATTAGCTGTCATGGTCCAAACTACAGCGCGGAATGGGGTCTCTTCCCGGCCTACCTTACAATTTAAATTATTCAACAAGAAACGTCCACAGTCAACCGTCATAAGTTTGCAGCTTGTCGCCTAACTCAGTCAGGTTTTAAATTTACTTTTACCTCTTCAATTCTCTTTCCCCAGGTGCCGCCGACCAATCAAACGAAGCCCGAGGGCGAAAAGGTGATATTCTCCTGCGAGGCTAAGGCCATGCCTGGCAATGTCACTGTGCGCTGGTTCCGCGAGGGATCTCCCGTCCGGGAGGTGGCCGCTCTGGAGACGCGCGTCACAATCCGCAAGGATGGATCGCTTATTATTAATCCCATTAAGCCGGACGACTCGGGCCAGTACCTATGTGAGGTGTCCAACGGGATCGGCGATCCGCAGAGTGCCTCTGCTTACCTCAGCGTCGAATGTAAGTAGTTTTGATCCTTTACTTTTAAAAATAGCTGTATCAGTACTCTAAAACTTTCAATCTGAAATTTGTCATTTCTCTGATAGACCCCGCCAAGGTAACCTTCACGCCCACAGTGCAGTACCTGCCGTTTAGACTGGCCGGTGTCGTTCAGTGCTATATAAAGTCTAGCCCTCAGCTGCAATATGTCACCTGGATGAAGGACAAGCGTCTCCTGGAGCCCTACCAGATGAAGGACATCGTAGTGATGGCCAACGGATCGCTCCTATTCACAACCGTGAACGAGGAGCACCAGGGCCAGTACTCGTGCACACCCTACAACGCGCAGGGCACTGCAGGAGCCTCAGGCATCATGGACGTGCTCGTGAGAAAGCCCCCGGCATTCACCGTGGAACCAGAGACGCTGTATCAGCGCAAGGTGGGCGACAGCGTGGAGATGCACTGCGACGCCACAGAGGCAGAGGGCACTGACCGACCCACTATCAAGTGGCAGCGGCAGGAAGGCGAGCAACTATCGGACTCGCAGCGCAACCGCATCAAGATCTCCGGCGGCAACATCACTATCGAAAACCTGCGACGCGAGGACTTTGGATACTACCAGTGCGTGGTGTCCAATGAAGTCGCCACCTTGATGGCCGTTACCCAACTAGTGATCGAAGGCACCCAGCCCCACGCGCCTTACAACATTACCGGCAAGGCCACTGAGTCCTCAATCACGCTACAGTGGCTGCCGGGGTACAGCGGCGGGTCCGAGTACAAGCAGGACTACACCATTTGGTTTCGGGAAGCGGGCGTGAATGACTGGCAGACCATTTCCGTGACGCCCTCGGGAAGCACGCAGGTCACCATTAACGGGCTGGCCTCCGGCACCACCTATGAGTTTCAGGTGGTGGGCCGCAACGTCCTGGGTGACGGACTGATGAGCAAGGTGATGAACGTGCGCACACTGGGTGAGTGTTCTGGATCCTTTTTCGAACTCCTATCTTTTCGTTTGCTTGCTCTTTCGTTTGGGTTTCGCTACAGTCGCTCCTCGGCATTCCTGCACATTGTTAAATCATAAAAAACCTCTGCACTACTACGTCCGGATTGGCTCTAACTTACAACTTTTGTTTTCTCTCGATTTCTTCTCTTTTCTCACAACCTCCATCGAACAAAACGCAACTCGATTTAACTTTCTCATACTAATCATGTGCGAAATCAAATGTAAACTGTCAAATGCCAAACCTCGACCCCGAATTTTTCCTGGGAACATGGAAAATTCGGGCGCATAGAAGACGCTCCGGCAGCGCCACGTAATGTCAAGGCTGCAACACAACCGCCCGACTCATTTTTTCAGCTAATGCCAGACGAAGCTGGTAAGAAACCAAACCCTATCAAAAGTACTAAACCAAACCATCTGTAACCCCCTTTGCGTAGTTTCACTTAAAATAAGAAACGGAAACCCACTGACATCCAGCCTGCATTTAATTGCTATCGTAGCCAGCAAGAGCCAATAGTGTAATTCTACAACATCCCACGCACATATGTAGATTTTCCGTTCCTCGTAATTCCTTAGCCTCAGCCTGTGCCATAATATTTTTGCACTAATAGAACCAAAAAGAAAGTTTCGAGTGAGATATATTCAGTTCAAAAAGTTTCCCTTTAGAAAAAAAACAAAAATAGGTATTAAGCCTTAAGAATAGAAAACAATAGTGATTCCAGCGATTCAAAAATATATTCTCCCAAGCCAATGATGATAAAAAGCTTAATTAGGAAGATTGTAATTGTCAAACTGGGAATCGGCAGACATGCTCCTATTCATTATGAAGAATATCATATTGGTCAGATAGAGAAATTCCTTTCGAACACCCGAAGTGACCAGAACTCTGATATTGGGTGCCCCGCGCTATATTTCGTAGGACTAAGGGGGTCTCGTTTCGTAGGGTTCAGGTGGTCTGCTCCCTGAAACAGGGTTATTACCTCACAAGGTCAAAAGATATCTCGAATTGAGCCGCCTAACTTAGGTATACAGCCTGGCGCACGTTTTATTATGATTTAAACTCCGATACGGCGACCATTGAGGCTCACTGCACTAGCTGCGCAAGCGAAGGACTGCTGGCTTCGCGGTCGATATGACAACGCCTTCACCAGAAAGAAGGTGAAGACGGTGTAATTCAAACAACCTATTACCAAATGCCGAGCACAGCCAGTAGGCATAGCCCTCCAGTCCCCAACATTTTCCGCTCGTTGTGGGCGCAATATAATCGTCAGGCAATTTGAATGCCTTTGTCGACTTTGCGCTTGTTTTTCGACCCGCTTTGCGATAATAGTTAATTTTACATCGCTCCAGCTCGCTGCCTATTCTCCCCGTCACAAGCAGCGGCTCTGTCTCTATCCTGGGTCCCATATGTCTGGAGGAATGTCAGCCCGTAGAATGTCAGCCCCACCCCAGCACATACACACACAAATAAATGCTTCCCCCATTAGCGTATTTAATTTCTACGGCTCGTGTGCCTGTGTTTGTGAGCCGACATGGTAACATGCGAGTGCGTATACGTGTTGGCGCAGGCGTAGGTCAAAAAATAATAAAACAGCAGCAGCTGGGGCTACGGCTACGGCTACGGCCAAAGGCAACAATATAGCAGCAAGGATGAACCTTAAAAAACCAACAACAACAGCAGCAACAATGAGCGAAAGCACCAGCAACAAAGGCAGCCTCTCTGACTGCAAAAGTACGCCGTGTTGTGTAACGCAACCCTGGATTTCGTGTACGTGTGTACCTTTTTTTGGCGCTTGTAACGAAACACCCCAAATAAGAACCATCCAATGCCAACGCCCACCTCCCCCGCACATTCTACCTCCACCTCAGCAGATACCCAGCCTCATCTAATCCATATAATTGAACACACATCCACAGAAACATCAATTAAGTTAACGCCTCGCACACCGAACAGCAGTTATTTATTTCCTTTGGCTTCTATTTGCGTTTTGCTTCTTGGCCAGAGCCTAATTTTCCATTCCCAAAACCCAATGGATCTAATCCCGGTCCCGTGCTAGCCATGTTGCCATGGTACATACATGTGTGCAACGTCCATCACATCCATAGACTCATACGTCATGAAGGCGCCAGCCCTGATTTTGTCGTTGGTATCCACCTCCACCCCCGGGTCTTCACAGCTGAGCTGCACCTACTACTTTTAGGTCCTTCGCGTATGTAGGTAGCGTGATTGCTGACTAGTCTCGTAATAAAACCTTCTTCAGAAGGCTCATGCGAGGCAAGAGTTTGCGTTTAATATGCTGATTTATTTTAGTCGAGTGGGTTGACCTTCGCCAACACCCTGTGGTACGGTATAGTTAGTACTCCTTTCGGTACTTGGATTGCACTTTCTTTCCTTTGACTCTTTAAACGCACCTTGTTGTTTGCACCACTTTAGTTTTAAATATTAATTCACCATTATTTTCTTAATTTGATTAAAACTTTGTGTTTCGTTGTGTTTATGATTTTTTGCAGACCTATTAGCCTATTTTGACATTTTCTTTCACACCGACTCGCGGGGCAAGCTTGTTTACTCGCCGCCCAAGTTGATTGTCAAAGGTACTCGTATTGGACCCACATATACATACGTTATTATTTAAACATGTTACTCGCCGCCTTCTGCCACGCACTGTTTGTACCCCGATTCGCGAAGGCATCCCGAGTTGCTTTCAATTGACTCTTCGAAGTTTAATGTTATACCAAGCAGATAGTAATTACGGTGCATATTTTCAGTGCCTCCTTGTCCCCCATAGACGTACACGCCTGACCTCCCCTCCAATTGACAGTCATAAATAACTTGCAACCGCGAGACGACTCCTTGTCCTTGCGCACCCCGGGTCTGTCCTGTCCGCCCGTCTGTGTTTACCCATCTCATTTGGGTCCCGTAGTTACCGGAATCCCGCAGCCACAACGGACCATTGTGTTTTATTTTTGTAACTTGTTGTGTCCTTTATGTTATGTCACATCTAAATTTTGTGGGGCACGGATTAAAGGGTTATTGCTCTTGCTCATTTCGGGGCTGTTCGCATAATCAAGTTTTAATATATGCCAGCGAATGAGTGGAATGCGCTTTAAAGTCCCGAGGGTCTTTGCATATTTTTTACCCTTAAAACATTTACATTTTTCATTAGCGACGTCCTCATATTAAATGGCTTTTATTAGTGGCACACATTGGAACACCCATCAAATCACCTTTTCTCTCGCATTTTCCCAGTATAAAATAACATTTACCGACGCTCATGTGACATTGCCATCTAAAATCCTTATGCGCCAGAAGCGGTCCGAAGCGGACCGTTCTAATTTGAATCTTTAAGTATAACACTTTGATCCTTACTTTGATTTTATAAAACCGGTATCTAGATCGAGAGCCCTGAAAGCCCAATCCAAACTAGATTTTAGCCCTAGTCCTGAAGCCCTAATTGTCACGGCTAAATTTTGATAGCATACATTTAAGCGTTCTCTTGTCAACCCTACTCTAGCCAGAAAATCAACACCAATTCAAGTATAAGTCTTCAAATAAACAAGTCCCTGCAAAGTAGATTTCCAATATACATAAATAGGAAGATAATAAGCGGAAACAGATGCCAAAAAATCATTAAATATAGCCATAAAGGGCTATTTAGGGAAAAATTACGTACACTTTTAAAACACATACTTAGCGTTTAGCTACAAAAGTAACTAATTTTAATGTTGGACCTAACCCTTTTCAAGGTATGCAGGTTAAGTTTGGTCTCGACGGCTTTAAATTGCTGGCTGGAAAAACAAAGGCTGAAAAGTAACCACTCCGCGAATAAAATAGAATCCCTTCTTCCTAATTGTACTCGCCAATCAGTTGGTTTTCATACTAATAGTTTCAATTTTCTCTCTTTTACCAAATAACCCCTGATTAAAAAACAGGTCCTAAGCCCGGCCCCCCCAGGAATGTGTCGGTGACGGAGATCTCCAACGGATTCCTTATAACGTGGCAGTCGCCGTTGGAGCGGGCTCACATCGTCAAGTTCTACACCATCAAGTACCGGACAGACGCCCAGTGGAAGACCCTCAATCGGGGTCAGATCCGGCCGGAGGAGACGCAGTATCTGGTGAAGAACCTGGTCGGCGGACGCACATACTACTTCCGGGTGCTGGCTAACTCAGAGAAGTCCTACGAGTCCAGCGACGAGGTGAAGTTCCCTGTGCCGGCACGAGTGAAGCACAAAGCGATAACCGCCGGCGTCGTTGGGGGCATCCTGTTTTTTATTGTTGCGATCATTTTATCGGTTTGTGCCGTAAAAATTTGCAATAAACGTAAACGACGAAAACAGGAAAAAGGTAACACTGTGGCAAAAGCTATCACACACACTTGAAATGGTTTTTGATGACTATCAACGATTTTGTCCATTGATATGATATTAATGATATAAACGCCACTCTGCTAATGCTATTGATAGTGCTAAGATATAGATAAATACCATTGATTCGTACTAATACCTGTACTGGAACTAATAAGCGAAACTGATGTTCCTGTTGTTGGCGATGAACGCAATGAACCGACTGAACTACTGAAAAAACTCTCGAGCTTAAGCCTTGAACTTAGGTCGGACGGCAGCTAGTTACCTATTATTTTTATTCTTGAGCAATAACTTTAATTATACGCTTAAGCATCAAATTATGTTAAATGTTATTACCGATTTTACATTTCCTTCTAACCCACTCATCTGAGTTGGGAACCTTCCTCCTCGCCTTGAGTTACGTTTTGACCCATTGCTTTATTCGACAACAACAGTACATTGCAGTTCTAATTGCTCGAAAGTAGAATATGATTTGATCGGAACCTTCATAAATTTTGCCTGCCTAAAATTGCGATTGTATTGTAGTTCTGCAAGTTGAGTTCAAATTCGGAAAAGCTATACAAAAATTCGTATATGTAAGAATTAACATACTAATTGGCTTTTGGTTTTCTTTTATCTGTTTTATTTTCTACCTTTTTAGTTTAAGATTTCTTTTCCAGTTTTTCCCCATTGAATGTTGTCCGCCCAGCTCCTGCTTATGAGCATTGACAAAATTATTAAGCCAATTCTTAGTTGAATTCAAACCTCAGACTCCCCACTTACCTTATACCTTGAATTAGGTTCAAGGTATAAACTCGGACCTTCGCTCCTACTGATAGGTCCCAAATATTTACGCTTTTTTGGGTTATTTTTTAACCAATTCGTCTATGTACCTTTTTTTCTGTTAAAAGCATGCGAATACTACTAGTTGTTACCCCTTAAGTTAAGCACTATGCTAAAAGGAGGCGAATAAGCTCCAGTACACCTCAACGACCTTTGAGAAGAAATAGAATTAAAGGGCCCATACTGAGCGTGCTGTATTGCCACTATTTTCTAAGCTGAGCAAAACTGCGGACCCCACCAAGTGGATTATAAACCCCAAACTACTTCCTCTGACTCGGCGTTTTATTGGGGTCCTTGTTTTAGGTTCTGTACTAAGTCAATTATTTAGTGTTGCTTTGCCTAAGTTTTTCTTGTTTTGGTTGTATTATTTACTCTTACTGATCCCCCTACACTTACACGACACAAAAACACCAGAAAACAGCTTAATTTTCGGTAAACAATTACCTTTAAAAGTGAGAGGGAAAAATAATAGGAACACCTTTATCTCTGATAATTGTCAATCATGTTCTCGGCCAAATCGTCGTTGTTTCTGCCCAGGGCTGAGTTCATGACAGATAAAGGGGTTCATGACAGAAAACCACACTATCTATATACTTGGCAATAAACCATATATATAGCACAATACTGGGCAGACGTTTTTTGTAAACAATTCACGCACAAAGATGGTAAAATAAGGCCCACAGATGATGGCGAAGAGCAAACCAAACCGATTCAAGTAACATAAAATGATCGCGTCGCCTATTTGTCGGTGGTTTGGTGCATTGCAGTCCTCCTTTGTCCGCCCAACTTACGAGACTCTGAAGCTGGTCTTACAGACCAGCTCCATAGATACTCCTGCAGAGTCTGGGTTGGGCAGTCAACTGGAGAAGGAAGATTATAGCCTTGCAATGCTCTGTAACTAATATATTGCCTAGTAAGCCCCCAATAAGATCCCCAGCATCGATACGAGCAAGGGTAAGTTTTTGCAACCATTTTAATCGATGTCGTTTGCCACAGATCCTGAGTACTGACAACAAGCTTAAGGTTCTTTTCAGAAGATCCCTCAAAGAAACCCCACCTACACGCCACCAAAACCAATCAACCTACAAACCAACACCGACAATAGAAACTTAAACTAATTACTTGTCTGTTCCTCACCTTACGCATCCACATTTCATAAGCAATTTGCGATCTGTCGGTTCTTTTGTCAGTGGGTCTGAGTCCCGGACAGAATAAAGTAGATGCGGATGCTGCATCTTGCCTCAACTGCCGTCGCACTTTCTCAATTATATCAAGCACCCAGTCTCACCCAGATTCATAATTACCCCATACCAAGGTCGTACACGAAACACAGCACACAGCAAGCAAAACAAACAAGGGCACAAAAGCTGAAATAAAAAACATTATTTTGTACACTTTTTGTTTTTGAATCATCTTGACCCTTCGGTTCTTAAGATTGCAACGATTCGTCGCCCAACTTTTGGTTTCAGCTTACTTTTCATTTGTCGCTGTAAGTCCCATAATCAGTCATTCTTTGCATTTAATCTTCAGTTCATTATCAGCTTTCCGTTCCCTCTTTATTTGTTACCTTAACCTGTATACCTTTCTTTCCGTTGGCACAAATCGTATCTGACCATTCAAAAGCCATTTCACGTGTCATTACTTGTCCAACTTTGTGAAGCCCCATCCTAAATAAAATACTGCGAAGAGCACACGGCTATATATATTCATAGGGCGATTTGTTATAACCAGATTTTTTAAATCTGGTAGTCAGTTCCACGTGTGCTTGTTAGCCTAGGTTTCAATAAACATGAATGTATTGTTGATCCCACATCCCCGTAAGTCCAAATAAGGAAACCCTCAGTGCTGTGAATTGTGACTGATTGCCCGAAATCCGCGATGGAATTTATTTCTACTCACCTTTTATCAATAAAATGCTTGTAAATGCTACATGGTTAAAGGTCAATCCTAACTACTAACTAAAAACTGGTGACTGGTTAATCTAATCTTCTGTTAAGCCTTTTCCCCAAAGTAAAAACGTAGCTGTAAATACTAAAAAAGAATACTAATGCGGCATGCAAGCCTATACGAAACAATCTTCCCACCAATAGATCATTTTTGAACCTGGCAATGGGCTGGAAATACTATACGTAATCGCATGGTTTCAAATATTAAAAAAACCATTGGTTTTTAATAAGAATTCCTTTAAAAGATCGACAAAGCCACAACATTTTTGTCTGTGTTGAAGCGAATTGCATATAAGCCATGTATAAGTCTGGCAAGCCTCCTCCAGATCTTACTAGAACTTCAAACCAAATTAACCGTATTTATGAACTTCTGTGTGTAGAGAGCACCGTAGATATGCATTTGTGTATGTATAGTTATAGCCCTTTTTGTATTGAGGCCTATATATAGAGTGTGTGTGCTTGGTAGCTTTACGTAAACGCTGTACGGGTATTTTATTTACTGGATAGGATGGCTAACGCTGCACGCCAAATTAATTGTAGAAATTATACGTTTGCAGAGTTCAACATGGTAGCTTGCAGGATAACGGATGCTCGTAACATTGCCGCCAATAATCATCACTTGAACAACCGCAGTACGGGCTCAGTTTCCTCTGGTCAAGTGCCTTTAAAAAAGTAAGTACACCTTTGAAACATACCAGGCCATTTTTGAACTACAACTCGACACTTTCCCAACCGAATTCTATCTAAATCTGTGTCCGTAATGTTTTCATCTGTCTCACCCATCTATGATTGGTACTCACTACGCACGCTCTACCAATTTCTCCACGTCCTCTGTAGCAATATTGAACATTACCGTGATTATGAAAGCGTTTTTATAGTTCCAGGTCCATCCTGTCATAATCAAAATCGTAAGCGAATCTTTCTAAAACTAAATGGAAATTTTTCTAGTTTGCAGTATGCTATTGTCTTTATTTTCGTGATTACTTTAATTTATTGTTGAATTTTTTTAATTTTACGTGTAAAATAAACATTTATTATAAAAATGAAATAGCTGACGATTAAGTTTGGTTATTCATAAAACAAATCTTGAATTTAATCTATTATCTTCATTTAAATGCGGCCCTTGTTTGAGCTTCTGTTTTTTATATTTCGGTTTTGAAATCTATTTAACGTTCAATTATCAGAAAAAGAAATAATTTCTACCTATACCCCTTACAGGTACAAACAAACCCGAATATCAAGTCTAACCGCCATTCTTATTGCCATTCTTCACTGGATCTGGCCGCCTGATCGCTGCACTAACTGCCACTCCATCTACAGCTCACCACAGGGAGAGGACGCTGACGACGGCGACGGGGGCGGGGCGCAAGCCGGGAGCAGGCGTTCCGTGAGTCGCATCCAACGAAGTCTCGACGGCCGTTTCGTCGTGGATATGAGTGCATCTAAGCTGGGATACTCCCACAACCTCGACCCTGCCAGTCAGGACGAGGTTGACGGTAGCTTCTTCGAACGCAGGAACAGTAACGTGTCTCAAAAGTCTTCTAGCGATGACGGGGGCTTCCTTTCGCGCCGCAACTTTATAACAGCCCGGGCCTCGTGGCGACGTCCTTTGGTGGCCTCCTCCAGTCAGTTAAGCCTGCAATCTGCGGCGGACTCCGCAAGAGGTTTTCTCCAGGGCTTGCTCAAAATCGGAGGTGTAGCTCCTAAACCAACGTACTTTGGCGAGGCGCCGGCCGTCGCAGGAGCCCGCTACCAAAACGTCATGCGCCCCTACACTACTAACAGCAACTTGTACGGAGACGCGGACAGGAGTAAGCCGTTGCACATCAGCACCATCAGTGGGAATCTCAACCAACCGCCCTACACGCCATCCAGGATCTCGAGGCTGTTTTCCAGTTCGCCCCAGCTGCGCCAGCATCACCAGCCCTTGCTTAGCAGCGGTAGTGGCAACTACCCGACGCACTTCAGTGATCTAAGCATGGTGTATCCCAACACAACTGAGCAGTCATCGCACAACCTAAGCAACAGGTACAGGTATTACTCACAGGAGCTGCCATACCTGCGAACCATTCAGGAAGAGACCCGCCGTCAGCAGCAACAGCAACTTTCGGTGGACTCCATAGAGCCGTTTGTCCCGCTCCAGATGCCATCGCCCCCATCCTGGAGGAGCTACCAACTGCAGACACAGCTGACACACCACCGGCCCAGGACTCGCTGGTATCCCCGCCACTACTCACGACTCTTCGGCAACAACCGACCGCAGCAGCACGAGCTACTCTCGCCCCTGCCCGATTTAAACCTCGCCCTGCGAAACGGTGGCATTTCCATGAACCCCGGTCTGGAGGCCTCTCCTGAGTCGCGTTCCAGTTCGAGCGGGTTTGGATCAAAGAACACCTCCAATCACCCCGGAAGTACCAGCGAGTGGAGACTGTTGCCCCCGTACAGAGCCCCTCCATCACCGCCCAAAAATCCCGGATGCTACGAAGCCGGAGTGCAGCTGCAGAGCGGAGAGCAACAGGCCCAAGCCCAGACCCCCCACGGTTCCTACAGCTACAACCTGGGGGCCACCAATCCGTCGTACACGATGGCTTACTGGCTGCAGATGATCTCAAGACTTAACGCGGCAACCGACAGCAGCCTTCCCAAGGCCTGTCCAGTGGATGTGGGCAGCGTGGACGGGCACTACGAGTTCGATCCGTCCACGCCGACCCCCAGCGCCTCGAGCATGCTGCGCGAAGATCTCAACCTGCACATAGATACGCAGTCGCACTTGTTCCACCCTCCCCACCATCACCACACCCTGGGCCCCTTAAGCGGGAGTCTGCTGCACAGCCATGCGCCTTACGGGGCGAGCCGCAAGCCGCGCTCCCAGAACCTGCCGCACCTGCCAAGATACGACAACGTGGAGGCGCGGCTGCAGGCCATGCGGGAGGAGTTCTACGCATACCGCAAGCGGCAGGCCATGCAGCAGATGGACAGTGTGTGCTGAGCGTTCGAGAGCCACCGAACTCCTTCACTTATGCACTCATTGGCACAGTCGGCCTGCGACTCCCTAGGAGCCGAGCCGCCGTAGCAGTACTCATGGCAACCAGACAGGATAAGTGTGATCGGCATGGATCAGGTTCCAATTCAGAGATAAACTTTCACAGTTTGGCCCCTGCGAATTCACAAAAGTCTAGCAAAATAAACAGAAACCAGAAACAATTAGTAGATTTAGAAGGGAAACTAGGTGTGTAAATACTTTTGCGTAAGCTCTCTCAACGCCCTCTAAAATAACAAAAGTATAAGTTAATATTTAACAACTATAGAAAGTATAGTAACTTATTATTACCAGAAACGGAATATATACTCGAGAAGTATTGGTCAGAAGGAGCAGGGATTGCTTGACGACGTATGCAACAAATTACAGTTACACGTAATTATTATTTACGAGTGTATTAGATATTGAAGATATTTAACGTAACACACTGATAAAAACCAGTTAAAAATTAAAAGCATTAAAAATTCAAACGAAGTAAAATCCGCAGCGTAAGCGTAAAATTACGTTACTTAAACTAAAGATTTACGAGTAATATCGAGATGCTATATGTTAGGCATGCAGTTGTTGACAGCTATAGCGGGTTATGAAATGAATAGAGTGGACTCATCGATGATGAACCAGCGCTAAGTAGCCTCAAGATACATTTTTTCATAATACAATTATTTAACGGCATTAAACCTACAAAATCAAAAGGCAAACATAGACAAGGCTCACTCACGGGCACTAAAGAAATAAAACTGCTGCATATATGTTTAAAATTGACCTACGCACGATAATTAATTTAAATAAATATTTAATAATCAAGAAACAATTATAACAAAGGGAAACCGAAACCCAAAAGACGTTAATCTAAGCCAGAAAGTCAGTGCAAAGCGGTCGATCAGCGATTCCGATCAGTTAGGGAAAATAATTCTTTTTAGTTTAGGACTCGAAACTCGAACTCTAACTCGAAGATAATATTCACAGTGTTTCTGTTTTTTAAGTACTTCTTAACGACAACTAACAAACACGTCTAAGGATCAAATTGCGCAAAGGATGGTTTGACACAACTTGACGCCAAAACACTGCCAGAGCGAGAGACGCGAGCCGACCTCGTGTGTGTATAGCGTATGTAAATTACAGAGCATATAAAGTGTAATAATAAAACGTTAATGATAATGATAACAGTAAAGATAACGAGTAAACAAGTTCGGGGAGGAGTATCAGCTCAAGAAGTCTGATCAGCCCAGAATCAACAGAAACAAACAACTAATGATCTCAAGGCTTTATCTGCCTTTGATGAATTTTGCAATCCGAAACACATTCCCGATTTCCCTTTTTGTAGACTTGACCTTTGTTCCGGTACTTTCAATTACAAAAGCATTATGCCTGATCACTGTAAGAGACGCTCCGGGGAACTCCGACCAAGATTCATAGAACGCTGGTTAATTCCTCTCAGTTTTTCAGGAACTGTCCTGGTCCGGTTTCGATTGTCTGGGGGATCGGAGGCCTTCATGGGTAGGAAAGAACCTTTGGGGTGATCCATTTGGTTCTAGTTCTTTAGTATCGTTCCGACAAAGTCGTTAAGTAATTTAAGAACGAAGCAAAAATGCAGTTTAGGCGTTTATTTTGTAAGTGTTCAGAGTTTGAAATGTTCATTGTTTAATCCATGGCGTACCCACACGCTTACACACGCCCACACAAAGCGTTAACTCAATGCGAATGAAATAAATTAATTAATTAACCGAACACTAACGGAAATGAGAACGAACAGAGCGTCAGTGTAGAAATGTGGAGCGACAGCTGTAATTGATTTTGAATTGAATTGAGCGACGAACGACGAGACTTAGGCGCAGGACTCTGAGGCGGATGGATATATATGATTATTTATACGATTATCAGTATATGCGGTAACCAAACACATATGAATATAGGTACTGGGTTACACGCCATGTACATTAAGTAACTAAGTTAAGTCAATCTACTGCTTTAGTCTGCCACTTTGATTTTTGGACAAGGTGCGCCAGTCAACTTCAAACTTTCGCATCCACTCGACTTTGAATGAAATTAAAATAGAAACTATCGAAAATTATATATAGGAACACTATAGAAGAGTGAAATCTATATTCTTTTGCACCCCATTCCACTTCGGACCATTTCAAGCCTACACTTGCCCGACCACCATTGTAACTTTTCCCGGCCCACTTCCCGACTTTCCCATCAGCAATTTCAATTAAAATTATGAATCATAAAGATATAAATCAGTTTAGAACGAATATATTGTAATAATAAACACTCACACCAATTAGCAAAATGAAAACAATTTTAAACAGATAAACATAAAAACCAAAAACGAATAAAATAAAAAACTTGAAATTGATGAAACAAAAAACGAAACGGTCTCTATGTCAGTTGGGGAGGGAGAGTTCACAATTGAATTCTTGTATGTGTTCATTAGAGCTACCCCAGTAATAGGTTTCAGATACCATTTGTTTGGGAACTCTGGATCGAACGCTGGGTCTTTGACAAAACGTCGGCGATCGTCTAATTATTTAAGTGAATAAACGTCTGCGAAAGTGAATTGTGGGGGAGCCGCGTTGCCAGACAAAGGGGCTATTCAGAACCGTTTGGCGTGGGCGTGTGTCAAATGTCAAATGCAGTCAGCCACAGATGAGCCGCCGGAGGAAAATCGTTTAATAGAAGAGAACATCGCGCTCAGTTGCCCTCCCGGCAGAACGCTGCTCAGTACTCATCCCCATCGCGGATGGATCATTCTGTAGCCTGCTACAGTTTGATCGTAATCGTCGTTCGTGGTTCTCAGTAGTGATTCTCCAGCGGCAGGTGCAGGTCGCATCCACCTAATTACCGGAAAAATTTCTCCAAACGGAACTGCGCACATACTCATATATGTGGTTTCGTATGTGCTTTCGTGCGCCTTGGCATTCCATGTACAGAAACTAGTAGTGCGCCGCAACGGCTTGGCTCAATTGACCTGATTTCGGGTTAGGCTTTAATTTAATTTTTCGCACTGCCAAGGCGGACACATTATGTAAGACACCCCGCGCGAGTGACCGAGTGCTTGAGTGACCGACCAGTGAGTGAATATTCGAGAGCATCAATAAAGATGGCACTGACAAATAACCGAAGCAGCATTGCATGTGCGTTCCTTGCGTTCCTAATGGGCCTGTCCTGTGCCTGCGGTGCCCGGGATCACCGAAGGCAGACCAACTTGGAGGCCAAAGTGGGCTCTTATGTTGTCTTCAACTGCTACATTGACTTTCCCTACGACTCCCCAATCCCGTACCTGGTGCACTGGAGCAAGGACGTAAGTTTTGTTCAGCAGACTCAATTATTAATAACGACTAACATGCCTCGGTTTTATACAAGGGAATCGTAGGCGGCCGGTTCTCCGACCCCGAGATCGGTCAGACTGATCAACTGGGAAGGAGGGCAGGGAAGTGTGTCAGCTTTAATTGCATCTGGTAGATGTGACTCTCCCATTCGCTAAAGGGCCAGCTTTATGACCACACTGAAAGAATACCTTACAGAAAAAAACAAAAATATATTAATATCGAAATTATCAAATCAATCATTTTCTGAATACATTTTTTTCTTCAATATGTTGCCATTGTCCAAAAATTTGTATTTCGCGTTAGCTCTTTTTGCAGTGGGTCGCTGTGACCCCTTACATACTAATTAAAGCAAATTGTTTGGGAGGTGCTTGCCCTGAATCGCATAATACCGTTCACCGTCGCCATTTAAATTAGCATCCTATACCCCCTTTTTAGCATTGCCTAAAAATTATCAAAAATGGAATCGTAGCAAGCTCCCATAATGCAATATCCACACGACCTGCCTGGCCCTCAGCTTATGTACCCCCCATTATATTTATTCAGCCATAGTCGAGGAACTGGGCTGGGCCGCACTGCCCCAGTAAGGTATGGTAATTCTCTATTCACTCCTTGCTTAATTTGCTCTGCCGACTCTGTTCTGCCTCTTTTTTGAAGTGGACTCTCCCCTCAAAACATTGTGTTCACTCTTCCACCCAGTCAACGGGTCATGATGTCATTTTGACGGATTAATTTTAATTACGTTTCAAATAGTTCTGACTGCTACGCACTGACGAGTAATCTTTAGAGGCGGAGCTCAAAACTAATCTTTTCAGTGGCAATTAAACAAATTCGCGGGCGAAACAAATGTTTACGATTTTTGTGACATATTCCGCATGTGTTTGGTCGGTTGTGCAATACCTATTTGCATATTTAGTAATACATATGTAGACACAGACTTTCACGGCCATTATGAGGCCATTGCAAATTTTCGCGTCGAAAATTACCGGAAAAATCAAGTTACGTTTTTATTTTGTTGGATAATGCTGATAAATGTGTGCCCCAGTGGGCTACTCTTGACAGACAGCTGGGCGTAGCACATAATCATCCAGTTAGGGGTCTGATCCGTACATCTTGAGTATCCGAAGTAGCTGTGACATTGGTTCCAGGCGTTGGTGCATCATTCGGACTGTTTCCCTTCTTCCCCAAAGCACAAACCTAATTTCTATAGATGAGATGATCTGAACGGGCCCACCAGATACCCTGAAATGCATTCCATTGCACAACTACTCAGAGATGAAACTGGAGTCGACACTTCTGCGGTTGCCGGCTATCATTAACCGAACTGGATGCCTAGCATGCGGTTTATTGACAATTCCAACAAGTTGACTGCCAACTGTGGCCCATGGGCGAAAGTCAAGTGCGCCAGCACAGTGAGCATAAAAAATATGTGGGGTTTGTTTTGAGCCCCAGCAATTAGAGCCCCAGGATCAACAAGCGACCGCAACGCCCGATGCAATTGCAGTTCAACGCGTTTGTGCATCTCCTCGGCATATGGTGCAATTCGATAACATTCAGTTTTTTCACGAATTATATACTGTATATTTCCTCTTTGTTAAGCAGATATAATTTCCAGGGCAAGCATTATAAATATTGCTATATAAGCTATTGCTATATTTAAAGCATAACTAAAAGTTCGCATAACAGAAAAAAACCGGGGTTTCTTCCTCCTTTTCATGTTCACGTTGATATTAGTTCACTTTCTTAACCAATAGTTTTCATACATTTTGGAACCTAATTATTACACAATAACATTATTACGAAATCGCAGTTTAATATTGCGACTCAAAGAGGCAAATTGCAAAGGGTGCAAGCCCATCCAGTTCAACACAAATGTGGCTATACCATTGTGCCACTTATGCGCGCCACACGATACCATTCGGATTTGTCAACAAAGTAACGCCGAGATGTAATGTCGCCTTGGCGGGGTAGTGTTGTGGAGGGCGCCTTGCCGCCCATTTTCAGTCTCGCCACCGCTGGGCTTTGTCACACCATGGTCACCGAAAACGTGAGACAAAGGGGCCGAGCGCAGCAGGAGACTGCTAAAATTGTAGTAGTTCATGGAGAGGACAGCCTGAATAGGTCTTCCAGGCGAAAGGGGGAGGCTAGGCCCCTGACACAAGGTGGAAACACTTGTCTAACAATATTCGCGGAGGTTTACAATATAAATCCATATTAACTTATCCACTTAAGTAATCTCTTATGTGATTAACATGGCAATGGAGCCCAAAAGCCTACAAATCCAGGGTTCAATAACAAGAGACTATACTCTTCCCCAACAACAGAACAAGAAGATATTCACCTGGTACGAACAAGAGACCTCAACCAATGAGCTATTCAATGGACGACTTCACCTGGTCAAATCCCATCCGGAGTTCGGTCGCGCCTCCGTTAACCTGACTGCCATTAGGGAATCCGACCAGGGATGGTACCACTGCCAGGTAATCTTTCCCAACCGCTCGCCATCGGTACGCAACAACGGCACCCGGTACCACTTGGCTGTCCAGGGCGGTTCCCTCATCCGCATCCCCCCCGTCAACCAGACAATTCAAGAGGGTCAGACTGCCTTCTTTCACTGCGTCATGAAGTACCCGGACAATTCACAGGCATCTTGGTACAAGGACGGCATGCTACTGCAGGAAATCCAGGACCTAGTGCGGAGATCTTACATGGGACCAGACGGCAGCCTAAGCATCGATCCCACCATGATGAGCGACTTGGGCGAGTACGAGTGCAAGGTGCGAAACAGCGAGGGTGAACTACAGACAGCCAAGGCCTTTCTTAACATACAATGTAAGTATCCTGCACTAAATGATTTCTATATTTGCCATAATTTTTGTATTGACTAGGGATCCCTAATACTAATACTTGGGATACCAAATCCCATTTTTTTTTGGGATCTTTCGAAATTTGAGATTTCCCCAATAGGGTCCATCACCGTGGCTATATCTTCCCCAATATTCATCTGATTCTCAAGCGAAGTAATTTAAACGATTTCTGGATCGATTCTCCACCATTCTGCATCAAAATCCTGAGACAAAATATTTTTTAGATTTTTTGTCCATTTTTCGAAATGGGATCCCTAGGAAATGCGGTTTTCCCCTATAGGGCCCACTGCGATGACTATATCTTCCCCAATTCTCATCCGATTCTCAAGCGGAGTGTTTTAAACGATTTCTGGATCGATTCTCCACCATTCTGCATCAAAATCCTGAGACAAAATATTTTTTCAATTTTTTGTCCATTTTTCCTGATGGGATCCCTGCAAATGGGGTTTTCCCCTATAGGGACCACTGCGATGGCTATATCTTCCCCAATTCTCATCCGATTCTCAAGCGGAGTGTTTTAAACGATTTCTGGATCGGTTCTCCACCATTCTGCATCAAAATCCTGAGACAAAATATTTTTTCAATTTTTTGTCCATTTTTCCTGATGGGATCCCTGGAAATGGGGTTTTCCCCTATAGGGCCAACTGCGATGGCTATATCTTCTCCAATTCTCATCCGATTCTTAAGCGGAGTGTTTTAAAC